CTATCCTTATCCGAAATAATCAAACTCGGCAAATCAAAGTGCTTCCACACATGCTCAAAGAACAACTGCACTGCACCCGTTCCCGTCACGGTCTTCTTGCAAGGAATCAAGATCACCATCTTGCTGAATCGGTCCACCACAACGAATAAGTAATCATGCCCGCGCTTGGTCGCTGGCAACCCTCCTAGGAAATTCATAGAAATACTCTTCCACGGTCTAGAAGGTACTAGCAGCGGTAGATACAATCTCCTCTTTCTGTTAGAAGACTTCGATATGCAATATAACTTATACCCTCCATCATACTTGGTAACATCCTCTTAACATCTTTGGCCAAAAGACATGGCGTCAGAGATTGAGAAACGTCTTTTAAATCCCAAAATGACCTTGCACACGTGATGTATGTGCCTCTCTAATCCACTGCAACTGATCGTCATCCTCCGGAATGCAAAGTGATGTCCCACAATACAACAAACCATCTTCTCTGAGCTCATACTCCCCCTTCCGACCAGCCTTCACCTGCTCGAACACACTACTGAAATCTCTACTGGATGTGTACATCTGCAGATACTCTAAAAGAACCAATGGCTGAATACGTGTTGCTACCAACAAAGCTCTCGCTAGCGGTCGAGATAGCATATTGGCCAATTTGTTAGTCGCCCCCTTGTAATGACGATGTTGAACGCCATCAAATAGGACATCCACTTCATGTGCCTTGCCTGTTGTAGCTTCGTCTGGGCATGTAGAAACTCCAATGGCTTGTGATCCGAGTGCACAACCAGCTCCTTACCCAATAAGGACACCCTCTAATGCTTGATCGCCTGGTAGAGCGTATAAAACTCCTTATCGTAAGTCGGATAGTTCTGAATAGCACTTGTAAGCATCTCAGAATGGTACTCCACCGGCTTCACATCCTGCATCAACACAGCGCCCATAGCATAGCTAGAAGCGTCGGTCTCTACCTCGAAGGTCCTCTGCAAATTAGGCAATGCCAACATCGGTACCTCCGAGATCTTCCTCTTTAGTAATTAAAAAACCTCCTCATGCATCCGCCCCCACTCGAACTGAACATTCGCCTTAGTAAGGCCATGTAAATTTGCCGCATAAGTAGAAAAATTTCGAATAAACTTGCACAAATACTGGCAAGCCCCCATGAAGCTCCTCACATCCGTTACTGCCCTAGGCATCAGCCACTTCGTGATCACTACCACCTTGCTTGGATCTATTCTCCGCTGGCCTTCTCCCACAATGAAACCGAGATACACCAACTCGTCCTTCCCAAATTCGCACTTCTTCCCGTTGAGCTTCAGCTGACCGTCCCGTAACACTTCAAACACCTTCTCAACATGAACTAGATGCCTCCCTAGGTCCTGCTATACACAAAGATATCATCGAGGTAAACTATCATAAAATCCTCTATAAAAGGTCGTAACAAATCATTCATGAGCCTTATAGAGGTCGTTGGAGCGTTGCATAACCCGAACGACATCACCAACCACTCGAACAGGCCCTGCTTGATCTTGAACGCAGTCTTCCAAGTGTCATCCTCCCGAATCCTCACCTGATGGTAACCAGATTTAAGATCCAACTTTGTAAAGAACCTCGCTCCTTCCAACTGGTCCATAAGATCATCGATCCGTGGTAGTGGGTAACGATTCTTGACCGTTATCTTGTTGAGCACCCGGTAATCCACACACATGCGCCAGCCTCCATCCTTTTTGGGCACCAACAACACTGGCGACCCGCAAGGCAAACAACTCGGCACTATCACTCCTGTCTCTAGAAGCTCCTGAACTTGCTTCTTAATCTCTTCAGACTCCTGTATGGATGTGCTTTGAAGACCTATATTCGACAAAGAACTCTCTCCCATCAACATAATCTTGTGCTCCACACTCCGTCTCGGCGGAAGTCTAATGATCTTTGAAAACATGTCCGCATACTTGGCCTTCAACCTGTCAAGATCTCCTTCCTGAAGCTTGCTCAAGGTTGTCAAGCATACTCTACTCAGCTGCTCCTCGTAAGGCCTAATGAACAATAAAATAAACTTCTTGCTTGTATTCACTAGCCTCTTCGCCTGAGTCACCGTCACCAAGCTCGTCTCCTGCGGAAGGGACGCCGACCGAAATATGAACTGCTCGCTGTCCTTGGTGAACATGTACTTCTGGGCCTGCCTGTCGTAGACTACGTACCTATCCCACAAATAAGGATTGTCCAGTATAACCTGACAAACATCCAACGGAACGACGTCACACGTGACCTCATCAATGTATGACTCGTGGAGTGCAAATCTGAAAGTGCATTGATTAACTACACTCAACCACGCCTCCTTCTGAATCCACCCTAAAGGATAGGGCTTCGGATGCTTGATCGTCTTTAGACCCAACTTCTGAACCATGACCTCAGATATCAAATTCTTCTAGCTCCCTGGATCAACTATGACATCAACTAAGCTGGTCTTCACCTACAACTTGAGAACAAAGAGCTGCTCCCGAGGGTCTTCGTTTTCTTTCGCGGCCTGCTTCCCTGCCATAAAGTTGAGACTGTTGTTGGGCTCTGTTATCCCTGAGACTTCTTTCGGACTTTGTGCTATCACGTATGTCTTTTTCTCCTCCTTTTTTAACCCCTTCGGCTTGAGATGAGGATACTTCTCCCAGTACTGATCAGCGATGTGCCCTGTCTGCTTGCAATGATTACAAGTTATTTATTCTTTCCCTGGATCACCCTTCTTCTCATCCTTAAGTTGGGAGCCACTAGACTTGCCTCCAGCTTGCTTGGTATCTCCCTTCATCTCGTTGCTCTTCTTCTGCATACCTTCAATGGCAATAACCTTCACATTTGCCTCCGCAATCGACTCTACCGTGAATAGCTTCATCTCTTTTCGGATGTATTCATTCAGCCCCGCCATATACTTCATGAAAATAGAGTACTCCGTCGCGATGTTGAGGACCATCGCCTGCTGCTGGAACTTCGTGATGTATTCTTGAATGATCTGATTGAATCTTTGGCGCAAGCCGTATCACTTGTACTAACGTTCCTCAAGGAACCCTACTCTTCATGGAATCCCACCGGGTAGAACTGCTTCCTTAGTAGCTCATTGAACATGTTCCACGACACCGATTTCTTCTTCTATTTGTAGTAGAATTTTTACCACGTCAACACGTGCCCTGAAAGCTTCAATGTCGTAAAAATAATTTTCTCCTTTGATGAATAGCCATAAAGAATGAAATAGGTTTTCATACGCTCGATCCAATCATCAAGCCTCTCAACGTCGACACTCCCATCATAAACATGATTCTCAACTCTAAAATCAATTTTCGGATTCTGGTAAGAACTCTTACCCCCTTGTTGCGGAATAGTCTTAACGGCCTCGACCTCCTCGTCGGAATCTGAATTCTCACTACCTCCATCAGATTCTATTGGTTTCTTTTTGGGCCCGCCGAAGATTCACCTTTCTTTTCGCCTCCGTGGATGAGATCGACGAACTTCATGAGAGTCGAACTGATTGTCTCGATCTGTTTTTTCATCGCATCAAGCCTCGATGAATTGTTGCTTTCTGTCATCTTCTTCCTTGATTTCTGGGCTTCTTCCAAAGAAATAAGAATATCGCCTAGCTTCTTGTATTGCGATCGAGTAAGGACCATACACATGATACCCCTTCACAGGATCTGATCACTCTGATACCAACTTGGTACGAGTTGCCGAGCGAGCACATTTGATCGCGAAATTATCAAATATGAGTTTTGAGAATAAAACAGTAAAACACACAAAAACAATTCAATTGGCGAAGGAAAATACCTACTCTAGATTATGAAGAATAAAATATTACAAAATCTCTCTCTTACAATCTCTCTAGAATAAAGAACAACTTCTCTGTCCTCTGTAAACTCTAATCTGATGTTTAGAAACCCTAAACAATCACTATTTATATGTCAAACAACGTGGATGCCAAAGTGGTAAATAACTAATACAAACCCAACCAGGAGTCGCGTCAAAACAGAATCCAGATCGGCCCAGGAAACCCAATCCGGTCGACCGATGTACCACTATTGGTCGATCGGTCACCCCCTATTGGTCGACCAAAAAGAGTGCGTCGGTCAACCGACCAGAGAACATGTTTCTCGACCCTGTAGTGTGTACGAATCCGGTCGACCGGTGCTGGTCGTTCGGTCAACCGGTGCTGGTCGTTCGGTCGACCGGCCAGAGCCTTTTGCCAATTTCCTGATTTTCGCTGTTTTCCTGATTTTGACCGTTTTCGCCACCATCCGCGGCTCCGACCATGCTTTTATTCTCAAGCTACCATGAGAATCATCTATTCTCAAGCTCCCATGAGGATCGTTAAGTTCACGAAGCAGAGAAGATACACACGTATCATCTCCTCTCTCATTAGAAATTTTGAATTCTAGTTTTCCCAAACGCTAGTTGGTATCCTATTTGTCTAAAGCTCTCTTGAGCCTTAAAAGTCTCCTAAAGCCTCTCAATCTTCAATGAGCTTTTGTCAAAAAAGAAGTGGTTGGCTAGTCATGTCACGTGATGGACGAAGTTAATTGGAATGTCCAAAACCCTAATGGATGTAATAGTATCAACAATTCTTGTAACACAGTTGATCTGGTAGAATTTATGTTGCTGATGGAGGATTGTAGAACCAGTAAATTATATTGAAATAAGTATCCATGTATGGGTGTGCAATGACTTTGTCAAGATTTTTTTTGGCCGATGCTATCTTAAACAGCCCTTCTAAAAACCCTGTGATTGAATAATATGTGAGCTAGAGCAAACAATAAAAGGTGTCTTGCATCATGCATTATAATTTGCTAGTTATTTTTTCTACTCACAATACCGCATTTTATTTTCCAATTTAAGATGATTCAGTACGCATTCAAAATGGCCCATGAATTACGTCCCGAGAGGCCAAAGTCCATAAAAGTTTTCAGCTGTATTATCTTATCGAGTGTTATTACTAGAAACAATTGCTACTAACAAATTCTTCAATGTTCTACCTTCAGGTGGGCGCAAGGGATTTGACAAAGTAATATGGGAGGTTGTGGAGTTTAACCGTGGTGAAACCCCATCAATCACCTTCAAATATCACAGTAAAGATGGAGAGGAAGGTAGCATAGATTTATTATTAAATTCCTTTTTGGCAAAAATAGCTTTTGAATTTTTTTTTGTGTATTCCCTACAAGTGTAAATAGGGGCTGGTGTGTACCTCCATGCTCTAGGATGGTGTCTAACTGAAGTGGCATACGTCCAGGCTGTTAGCTATGATATGTGAATGTTGTTGTTTTGGTTTGTAATGGTATTGGTTTGTAATGGTCTGGATTTCTGCCATATCAGTAACACACCAGCTAAGTGTAGGGGTGAGCCCACATTTACTCTCACTATAGTTGCCCTCGGCGTATTTGTCTTCCCTGTAATTTATGTTGTCCCTCCTATAACTGTAGTGCCTCGGTAATAGGAAAAAGATCTTAAAAAAAGAATTCCATGATGATTTTTGTCAATTTTGGGCTTGAAGTTTTGTGGATTCCAAAAAGTTTATATGTGCAAAATGCTTCTGAAAATTTTGTCCACAGGGTACCCTGGAGATGTGAGCGTCACCGCAACTTACTCCATCCCTTCACCCACAACACTGAAGCTAGTCATGGAAGCGGTGCCTGAAAACAAACCGACACCGATGAACCTAGCTCAACACACATACTGGAACATTGCGGGTCACAACTCCGGCAACATCCTGGACCACTCAATCCAAATCTTCGCACGTCACTTCACCCCCGTCGACGAGTACACTGTCCCAACGGGTGAAATAAAGCCAGTAAACAACACCCCCTTCGACTTCACCACAGAAAATAAAATCGGGAGCAGAATTCAAGAAGTGGGTCTTGGATACGATCACAATTATGTACTAGACTGTGGAGAACAGAAAGGAGGAGGTCTGAAACTCGCTGCTAAATTGAAGGATCCTTCGAGTTCGAGGGTTTTGAGCCTGTGGACAACTGCACCGGGAGTTCAGTTTTATACGGGGAATTACGTAAATGGTGTTGTGGGTAAAGGAGGGGCTGTGTATGGGAAACATGCAGGGGTTTGTCTTGAGACTCAAGGGTTCCCGAATGCGATCAATCAGGCAAAATTTCCATCTGTTGTGGTTCGGCCTGGAGAGAAGTATGAGCATGTTATGGTGTATGAGTTCTCAGTTGAGTGATGTAATGCGCTAATGTTGATGGGAGAATAATGTCGTGATGTTGAACTTATGAGAGAAGAATAAAGTGGGTTCAGGTTATTGATTTGTTTTTTTATAGTCCCTAGAATGATGCAAAGGGTTACTGCACATAAACCGTGTTAGTGAAGTGTGAATAATGCCAACCATATTACTCTTTTCTGCACTACCTGCAGATTATAAGAAAGAAAAGTGTGGGCTTCGTTGAGGGGCATTGATTTTATTTATTAAAAAAAAAACTTAAAGAGAACGGACTTTACTTTTCTCTCTTGTCGTGTAGAAGTAGTGTAGGAATGGTAATGTAGTTATCACTACTCCTCTAGTAATGTTGTTTCGAAGTTATTGGCCCCGTAGTTTCATCGTTCTGAACTTACTGCTCCTATATCTTCATTGTTTTGAATTTACTATCCTTGTAGTTTCATAATGCACGTAAGACTCCTCGGGTGAAATCTATTTGACTCTTCTGCCCTCAGTGAAATTTTGGTAGATATTGTTTCCGGTGGTAGCGAGTGAGTCTAATATGAGGGTAAAAAAAAAAATCAAAAAATTAATCTTGGGGACATATCTGCAGCAATGAAGTTACATGGGTAGTACGAACCATTGCGGAAAAGATGCAGGTATTGTCCCTAATATCTGCTAAAGATTAGAGTGTAGTGGGTAAAATAAATTGCGTTCAAGAGTATAGTGAATAAAATAAATGTTTAATTGCAGACCGTGGCTTTGCCCAGATCCTCTGTATCTCTTAATTGTGCGGGTAGACTTTTTGAGTGGGTTCTTTTTTAAAACGAGAAATTTTTTTTTTTTTTAGAGTCAGAAAGATCCCATTAGTTCTATTGGTATGGATAAAATTTTAGAAACTTAAAAAAGAGCGAAAAGAGTTTTGAAATGGACAAATTTTCAAAATGAACCGATTTCGAATTTTAAATAGCAAAACCGACCTTATCGAAATTTAAATAGCAAAACCGACCCTTTTCAGAAGAAAAGGGTCGGTTTTGCTGCGGAAGATTTTTTACGACATACACGGGACTGCTAGTCCCGTGTATTTCGTGGCAATTTCGAATAACACGGGACTAGCAGTCCCGTGCGATCGGGGGTAAAAAATTGAAACCCGTGACTTTCTTCCTCTTTACCTCACTCATTTTCACCCAAACCAGTTTCACCCCCACCTCTTTCACCGCTACTTCAATGGGAGCCTCGGCGTCGGATTGAATAGTATGCCGATGTATGAGGGAGGTTTTAGGAAAATGTTTATGTTATCCAAGTCATTAAATTTTGATGGAATGATGAATGAAATACACAGAGTTACGAAAATTAATAAAGCATGTTATGCAATTAAAGTGTTCTTCAATTGTCCGGTAAATGAGAGTAGAACTATTGCTGTGGCGATTACCGACGATGAGGAATTGAATGACATGAAACAATTAGTGGAGAAGCAAGTGTCAGTTGAGTTGTTCATTGAGAAGTATCCGATTCAAGAATTTGCCCAAGTTTCACGACCACAAGGAGAGTTTTCTCGGATGATGGACTTAGACAATGAGTCGAGTGGTTTTATGACATCTCCAAGTCAAGAGCCGTGGTGTCAACTACAACATTTAAGTGGGCATTCTCTTGGTGGGACGTCAAGTACTATATTTAACGACGCATCGGGCTATGTTACGGGTGATCTACCGGCCGGATCAATTGTAGAAGAAGAAGTAAATGATGACTCAGAAGATATTGAAGAAGAAGACGTGCAAATTGATAGCATGCATGTGGCAGTTGGAATCGATGATGATTCTCGTTGGATGGATCAATTTAATGTTAACAATGATTATGTGGAAGCTGAAGATCCGTTGCCCGACGAGTTTCATAATGAAGATTGGATAAATACTTCGCAAGCTGAATTTGTTGATGTTGGTCCAAACTTTCAACGGCCTGAAGACTTCACTTTTAAAAAAGGGGACCTATTCGAGAGCAAGGAAGCATTGATCTTTGCGGTGCGAGAATGGTCTATAAAAAATCGGGTCAATTTCAAGCCTGTAAAAACTAATACAACCAACTACTATGTAAAATGTTATTTTATTGTTATATAAATTACAATCCTATTTTGATATGTACATTACAAACGTATTTCGGGACAATAGATGGTTTTTGGATTTGTAGCTGAGATTGTGGTGTGACTTATTAGATTTGTAAGTGGGTTTGTGGCGTGATTTGTTGGATTTGGATTCGTAAGTTTGTGGCGTGATTTGTTGGATTTGGATTCGTACGTTTGTGGTGTATTTTATGATTTTTAGATTTGATATGTGTTTATACAGGGAATTGACATGAGTTTGTACAGGGAATTGATATATGTGTTTATGCAATGGTGTAATTTATGATTGTTGCGTTTGAAATATGCGTTTGTACAGGGAATTATCCCGTAGCAGAAATACATGCATAGTGAATGTGCAGGAAATGCACGGGACTGCTAGTCCCGTGCATTTCATTGCGCCCAGGAATTGCACGGGACTAGCAGTCCCGTGCTATTGTTTTTTGCAGAGACAGCAGGCTCTGTAAAATGCACGGGACTGTTAGTCCCGTGCATTTCTTTTTTGCAGACCTTCGTTCCTCTCTGTAATAAACACGGGACTGCTAGTCCCGTGTTATTCGAAATTGCCACGAAATACACGGGACTAGCAGTCCCGTGTATGTCGTAAAAAATCTTCCGCAGCAAAACCGACCCTTTTCTTCTGAAAAGGGTCGGTTTTGCTATTTAAATTTCGATAAGGTCGGTTTTGCTATTTAAAATTCGAAATCGGTTCATTTTGAAAATTTGTCCTTTTGAAATTGTATGTCTACTCTTTGTTGGCAAAATAATAATACAAAGGATCTATCAACACTAATAAAACTTTAGGGTCTGTTTGGTGAACTCTTCAAAACTAGGCTAAGAGCGACTATGACTCAGTTTTGAAATAAACTGGTTCTTTTTTGAAGTGATTTGAAAAAGAACCAATTTAAATGCCTTTTTTTTCTTAGAAAAAATTAGCCCAGAACTGTTCCCGTTTTCACCAATAAAAAATAAAGGAATTGATACTACAAGGAGTCTATCAGCATTTCACCGTGAAATAAATATTGCTAAGTTAGTTTATGAGTGAAGTTTTAGAAACATAAGGAATTGATTTTTTTTTTTTTAACTTAAAAGTATATTTGTTTTGAAGGGCTTATATTCCCAGCAAAAAATAATTTTGGATGATATAGACTCCTTGTAGTTCGCCTAAACACGCCCAGCCAAATCTTTCCCTGATAAAAATTCCAATATCCTAAAACGACTCGGACCAAAATTATTACTGGACCCCAATATCCTAAAACGACTCGTACCAAAATTATTACTAGACCCAAAAGTCCTCTCCTATTTTCTCTCCCCACCTCCTTCTTCTACCCCCAAGAATCCTGCGATCCTCTGAACTTCTGGCTATAATAATAACTGATCGATATCAGAGAGAGAAAGGGAGAACGCAAAGCGAAAGCGAAAGCAATGATGAGGGGGCCAAAGAGGCCGCTAGGTCTAGTATCGGGATGGTTCCGCCGGCAGCCGGCGAAGG